AGCCCTTCACAAAGCACTAGTCTGTTGAAAAGTGGGTCTGAGAAAACTACCCGAGAGTCACTGAGTCTAGAATCATGACATCTTACAATTGCCTTAGTCTCTTCTCTCTCCCTCTCTCTAAATTTCCCTGTAGTTTTGCTTTAAAACCAAACAAAAATGATTCTTTGATGTTTTGCTGGCCTGTTGTGAAAACAAAGAGTGAGACAGTTCTGAGCGAGGGCCGGAAGTGCTTGCTAACAAACACAGCTCCCCGAAGGCCTTTTCCACTCCTTTCAGAGAGGCGAAGTCTTTGGAAAAATATTTCCAATAAGTGAGAGAGAGCATGGTAACTGGGGAAAACACATACACACACACACACACACACACACACACACACACAAATAAACCCAGTTCTTTAGAAGCTGAGAGCTAGAACTGACCTTGAGAAAAGTCTAGACTAAACCTAATAAGTTTACTTGTGAGGAGAGGAAAACTTTCAAACTAACGATGGTGAGTGGGGCATTTCCTTAAAGGGACATGTCCCAACCTCTTCTAACCTCTTGGAATACAACAAACACTTTTCCAAGTTGGCTCAGTATTTAAATATATCCCAGTGAGGTAAACGGACCACAACAGCAATCGTTTAAAAATGTTTTTATATTTTTCCCAGGAGGAATCTTTAAGAAGAGAATACTTAGAGAAAAGACATGCAGACTTTGGCAAAGTCACTGAGACAGAGGCACACACCTTCCCAAGCAGGAGAACCACATGCACTGCTGTGGTCGATTCAGACCGCGCCGGCCTCTAAAACCAAACCCTTCAGAGAAAGCACATCGGCTTCGGGCATATGAAAGGGCTTCAGAAAGTTAGTGGGAACAGTTGGAATTAAGAGACCATGAAAAATGCCCATGAACTTTGTGAGCCCCCCCCTGCACAGGCTGTCCTTAGATGTTCAATCTTGCAGCCCGATCCTGTGCCCACTGTTGCTGAAAACGGTTTTCCCCTCAACACAGATATACTGGAACCTTGGCCGCGCCCAGGCAATGTACCGCTGGCAGCTGCATGTTGGTGAGAGATGGTGAGGAGTTTGTAATGGCGCTCGGCAGCAGGCATGAAAGAGAGGGGGTTGCTATGGGTCGAATCGTGTCCTTCAAAAAGTGAGACGGATGGACTTCAGACTTGCTGGAGTCAGGGAGAGCGGGTGAACCCCTAAAACGACTGCCTTGAAACCCGAAACCAGAAACACCTCCTGACGTTGTCTGAAACCAATCAGCTGTGAGCTGAACTATAAAAACTGCATGCCCCTAGACCAGAGGATGTAGACTGGTACAGATAGGAACTGAAAATAAAGGGAATCCAGGACGGATGAGCCCTATAGGACCAGTGGTGTGAGTGGCAAAACAGGGAGGGTAAAGGGAGAGTGGGTAGGCAAGAGGGAACCGATTACATGGAACTGTGTGTGACCTCCTCCCTGGGGGACAGACAACCGAAAAGTGGGTGAAGGGAGACGTCGGACAGGGCAAGATATGACAAAATACCAATTTATAAACTATCAAGGGCTCATGAGGGAGGGGGAAGCAGGGAGGGAGGGGAAAAATGAGGACCTAATGTTGGGGGTTTAAGTGGAGAGAAAATGTTTTGAGAATGATGTACAAATGCGCTTTACACAATTGATGTGCATATGGATTGGGATAACAGTTGTATGTGCCTCTAATAAAATGTTAAAAAAAACACCTGCATGCCTTGAGCATCACAGTCTATTAAGAAGCAGCTGTAAGGGATCAAGTGATGGAGAAACAAGAGAGACTTGATAGGGAACTTAGGGGGCAGTAAGTGTGGGTCAGGGGGGAGACACAACTTAGAGGAGGCGGGTGAGTGGGCACAATCTGCAGAATGGCATCGATGTCACTGTGCAGCACATGCAGAAATGAGCGGACTGGTGCATGTTTTGTTGCGTATATGCTCAACCACACAGTGAACTTGGTCTTGTTGGGAAAGGGGCTTCCTTTTCTGTATCTGACTCCAGTCTCAGTGACGACAGTGAAGTGGGGTGGGTCGACACCCTCTGAGCGGTGTCTCAGAGCAAGCGCAGGCTACACACAGAGAGGAGACGGATGCCTCATGAAGCGCATCTACACATAAAGGAACAACAAGGCCTAACTAGTGGGAGCCAGAGACGAGAAGAGAGGCCCAGAGATGGAATAAACACAGCTGAGACCCTGATTTGGAATTTAGCCTCCAGATCTGTGAGAAAATAAATGCCTTGTGCTTTAAAGCCACTTGGTTGGGTGGTACTGTGTTGCACGTGTCCAGGAAACTAAGACAGTGATGAATCTGAAGGCTCTGTAAGACGACAGGCCAATGGGATTAGTGATTGATTGGGTGGCCTGAGCGAAAGGAGGCAGGTCACCGATCAGATCACTCCCAATTCTCGCACTGCTGTCAGTGCAGTGGCACCATTCATTCTCCAAGACAGGGACTGAGGATGCTGGGGGAAGCTCCAGGCCTCAAGAGTCAAGGCAGCCATGATTTGGAAATGCTGTCATGGAGATGGTATTCCAACACCTGACTACACAGCTCAATGGACAGGTTGCTCCTCTTTCCAGACACTTAAGTGACCAGTAACTTCTGAGCCAGATGCCGTGATTATTTCTGACCAGCAAAACTGGACATAGGTTTCACGATATCGCGTACAGGAGGAGACCAAGGAATCAATGTGTTACTAAGTGCTGCAAAGAAAATGAAATAAAATTCAGTGAACATAAAAAGTAACTAATTCTACTTCATAGAGTTAGAGAAGACCCCGGGGAAGTACTTTTGGGCTAAGTTTTGAAAGAGAAGACATTGCTCTTCCTGTATGAGGAAGACAAGAGATGGGATGAGGCATGTCTGGAGGAGATCCAGCAGGATCAGAGAAGGCTGAAAGGAGATGGTGTGTTTAAGAATTCAAGCAACAGCAGAGTTAATTACATCAAGTGACCACCACCGGTCTGTCAGTTTGTGGGACTTCTGTGTTGCTGTGATACTGGAAGCTATGCCACCAGTATTTCACATACCAGCTGGGTCACCTGTGGTGGACAGGTTCCAACAGAGCTTCAATTAAGACAGCCTAAAGTAGAGTGCTGCTGTCATCACGGGTTACTTACTAGTGGAGTAGTTGTCTTCAAGGTCAGCAGTTCGAAACCACTAGCAGCTCCATGGGAGACAGACGAGGCTTTCTATTCTGGTTAAGAATTACAGCCTTGGAAATCCATAGGGACAGTTCTACTCTACCCTATAGGATCACTATGAATCAGAATCAACTCAATGGCAAGGAGTTTGGTTTAAAGTAGAGGGTCGGCAAAAAAGAGGAAGACTCTCAATTGACACCGTGGTTGCAAAATTGGGCTTAAACATGATTGTGTGGATGGCACAGGGCTGGTCAGTGTTTCCCCTGTTGTACACAGGGTCACTGTGAGTTGGAACTAACTCAATAGAACCTAACAACAACAACAAGAAAGGCCAGGTGATCTACTTCCTAAAATCAGCCGAAGAACACTCTTTGGGTCAGAATAAGGAATAGTCTGTCAGAGCTCGGGCACAAGCTGATAGTCGAGAGGGTGCCGCAGAACCGCACAATGCTGCTTTCTGTCTCAACAACTAGCAACGCACGACATGCAATGCAGAGCAAGCAGAGAGAAGATTGGAGGAGCCTGGAGTCAGACTGGACGATCTTTTCAAATGTTTTCATCGGTAGTTGAATTTTATCCTGTGAGCACTAGGAAACCAGAGACTTTTTTTTAGAATGGGCAACGGCCATTTATTGCTTATATCCAACCAATGTGGACTGAAGGCCTCTCCCTAAATCTAAATCCCAACAGTGGTTTTCGATGCTTATCTACAGCAGCCAACAAAGCAGGTGGAAATACCAACTCAAGGGGAGGGTGGGGAAGACAGTCAAT